AAACTGTGTAACTAATCAACTAAACAAGATAAATGGTTGATTACACCAACAGAGGCCAGGAGGGGATGGAAGGGATTCCTGAGATGTAGGGGATGTGAATCGATGACGGGTGAGACTTGAGAGGGAATACAATGTGGTGGTCAACCAACCAAGGGCATAGCACTCTTATGCTCTCATTCATTGCCCCACATGAATTTCACACTTCTAGTAAATAACTAAATATTTCTTTTTGCTATTGTACATTAAACCATGATGAGGATAGGGTGGGCGTCAATATTGCATATAGTCTGTAATCTGTATAATAGCAGAATGGTTTAAGTAAATGGATGATGCATGCTTGCATGAGCGTTAGCTGACAAAGTCTCGTTACGGCTTGAAGAAAAAAGCCTATAGGGAAACCATCTTACCAACTATGGTATATGGGAATTTTGAATGACAAAGAATGAACAAGAGCAACAGTTGGAAGTTGCAAGTTTGTGAATGTTGCGATGGACATGTGGCCGTATCATGTTGGACAAGATACCAAATGCGGTCTTGTGGGAAGAGTTATGGTCACACCCTTTTCAAATAAAGGATGGATGATAGTCTGCAATGGTTTGGCCACATTCACCATAGAGATGTGACGGCACCAGTGATGCGTGGAAAGCTTTTGGTTGAGTGGACGAGGATAAAAGGCTGGCCACATAGAATATGGGGTGATGTGTTGAAGCTGGATGTGGCAGCCTTAATTTTTCTGAAGAGTAAAGACATGACCTCTGACAGACGGAATTCTGGAGGCACCACTGCACCAGATTCAAGCAGTAGATTTTTTATAGGGTTTGAGAGGGTGCTTTGTTGGGGTTAGGGTTTTGTGATCGTGTAGTAAGTGTGTGTGAGTATGTTTTCTTCTTTGTTTTGCGTGATTGCTTATCTTCTCTCATTGTCTTTTTTTTTGAATATCTCTCATTGTCCTATTGTTTTTGCTTACTTTTGTGCTTTAACACTGTTTACACTACCTTACACTGCTTCTTGGGTGTATGTCACCTTTCCTTGACTGTACATTGTAGTAAGTTATACATGATTTGTTCGGTATATACATTCTACTCTTTTAGCTCATTATATACTTCTCTTCATAAGTTCATATACAGTTTTATCTTAATAAGTTCATATACAGTTTTATCTTAAAAAAATTGAAAAATATATATTCATTTTGTATTAATAATTTTATCCTTTACCTTTCTTCTGATTGTGCTAATCATATACTACTGCATGGTTTGGTAGGGTTTTATAAAATTCCATATTATAAAAAGTTTAGTGTAACTATAAATTGCAGCATTATATTATTGTCTGGTTAGACCCACATTTCCTGATCTGTTTCATCATTACTCATTACCGAATTACCCAAGTGCAATTCCGGATTACACCGTCTGATCATATGCTCTTATAATCTGAATCTGATTAGACCTATATTTCCTGATGTGTTGCTGCAATTGCAGGCATATTCATACATGCACATTCGCAATAAGGAGTTTCCGTGGGGTAATGCTTTCTATTTTAATTGCAAAGTTCACTTGTATTGTTGCATGTTCTTTTTGGGTGCCTTCTTGCTCCTAAAACTTACATAGGGTGGATCTTTGTATCTGATCTTTAACAACAATAACAACAACTTCGCAGAGGTTTGGGGTTCAAGATGTACGCACCCTTACCCCGCCCACCCCCCCCCCCCCAAAAAAAAAGATAAATTAGAATAAAAAATAAAAGAGTAAATTCCATAACTGGTCCTTTATAACAGGAGGTTTCCATATTTAGTCCTCTGTTATCAAATATTACCCCCGTAGTCCTTTTTTTAAGGGCGCCTTTCCACAAATGGTCCTTTTTTTTAATCTTCTGCCATATTGGTGTTAATTTAAAGGCTAAAAGTATAATTTGACATCAACATTATGTCTAGTGACGTGTTCTGATATTGGTTAAGTGAATAACACAAAAATAATGACTATGATTGTGGGCTAGGATTCCAACGAAAGACCACATTTGTAGACTATGGTTGTAGTAGAAAGCGACTATAATTCACAAACGACGCAAACGGAACAGCCTTTGGAATTGTGTATGACAAAAAAGATATATTATCATTGTGAAATTATACTTTTAGCCCTCAAATTAACACCAAAAAGGAACTATTTGTGGAAAGATACCCATAAAAGAAGGACCACTAGGGTAATATTTGATAATAGAGGACTAAATAGGGAAACCTCCCTGTTATAAATGACCAATTATGGAATTTACTCAAAATAAAAATATAGACTATTTTAGTTAGACCGTTGATGCATTGCTTCATCTACTACCCGAAACTTCATTGAAAGTAAGAAGCGAAGGAAGTTTGATATGTTATTCTGATATATGTAGCTCTTTGTATGTGGAATATATGAACAATATGGGTGAACATTGTTATTGTGAGTTTTCTGCACATTTTTGTTCAAACAAATTTAAAATCTGTGGCTGGAATTCATTTATTAGGAAAAAAAACATAACGCGAACCACATATTGGTTTCCTTAATATAAAGTGAGGACAATTTTGGGATATCTGTTGTCCCTCAAAGAGGTCAGTACTGATTGGTTTCTTGTTGCATTTGAAAAATGTATAGATGATCAGCTGATTTTGTTTAAATGCAGGTCCAGATGGCCTTTTTGAGGTAAAGCGCCATTGATGGCTGACGTCATTGTCCTGGAGACCAGAAATAATTTTTGATCGGAAACTGTTTTCAAGACTTCATTCATTCTCATTTGCTGTGCCTTTTTTCTTTCTTTTTTTTTGGTACAATGCTCTGTGCCATTTGAAGTGGCAGCCCAATTTTTTTTAAAATAATACGGAGTATTTTTTTTCTGATTCATTTGTCACTTATATTTGCTTATTATTGGGAAACTAAGTTGACCAAATTTTATTAAAAGGTAAAATTTAGGGTTAAATATTTATGCCGTACAATTTATTTACTTGCCATTAATTTTTTTAGTTAGATATAAAAACAGCATCATTGGTGGTATATAAATACTACTACTTCCGTCCCATTTTAAATTTGCTTGTTTTCCTTTTTTCTCCGTCCCAAAATAAGTTGTCTGTTAGTTGTTTTCGTAAACTTTTAAGAGTTAAATATCTAAACTACCTCTAAAATAAGTCACTCTTCTCCACTTTATCTTCTCATTCATCATTATCCTCCTAAAAAGTAATGACAATTTTGGAAAATTAACTTTATTTTTTCTTTTCCTTAAATATGCGCAAAAGTCAAAACAGGCAATTTAAAACGGGGGGAGGGAGTAAAAAACTAAGAACTATAATTCTCGCTTGAAGAAAAGATACAAATGTACGTAGTAATTATTGGTCATAGCTACGTACTCCGTATAATCAAATGTAAATTCTTTTTTGGTCTAAGCTGCATTTAAATTTTGTTCAAACACCAAAACTCATGTGTAATTTTTAAGATTAATTGAAATCAGGGCAAAAATATTGTAAATGATAAATTTGAATTAATAAGTTTTTGAAAAGGTAATGATCATTTTAGAAAAAATTAATAAAAGGGAAGGGAGAAAACAATTGAAAATGGAAAAAATAATAAAAGGAAGTAAATAATCGATTCCTTTAAAATCTTATTTTGTTTCTTTAGTTTTTTTTGACATGTAAAATTTCTTTATTTTTCTCCTGCCACGTCATATATTACTTGTCAAAAAGTGACGCCTCAACTCCGTCAGATGTTGCACCTCGATTTTGTTAAATTTCATGTTCTTGTAGCTTAGAGTCTAAGGATAACTTTTGAATACAAATATAATTACGTACATATTCAATTTGAGAAATATTTAACTGCCGAATATTAAGAATAAGCTTTAAATACAGACACAAAAGAGCAATTGAATATGGAGTATTTGTCAAAACAAGTGCTTACGTATTTTAAGATTATAAACATTACAAAACCAAGAATCATGCTAAGTTTTTTCAATTCATCTTATTTTATGATTGGTATGTAAATTAAAAACTAAATTAAATAGTGATATAAAACAAGAGGTAAAAAAATTTAATTTATCAACTAATCAATGATAATATATAAATAATACGAAGTAAAAGTTATCGCTCCTTCAAAAAAACAAAAGTTATCATGATTTTGAAATAGTGAATTTTGAAACAGAGGGAGTATTATAAAGATGTCAATACTCATTACCTCTTCAATCTAACTATATGTCATGTTTGAATTGTCTTTTTACAAATAAAAATGAAAATTGATACATTTTAATCATCAATTAAGTATTTCATAAAAATTGCATGATATATTAATAAAATTATACTAAATTATATTTTTTATTTAAAAGATGATTAAAATTCATCCAGATTAACTGTAAATATTTAGATTGGATAAATACATTAAAATTGAGGTAATATTTTATTTTAAATATCGGGTAGGATCTTTGAGCAGTCTCCCACTCCTTTGATCGCCGATTTGGCAATGCCAAATCCGCAATCGAGTAAGGGGGAGGGGCAAGAAGGGATATGAACTATCACTTTTACTAACGGAGCACCTTAGGTGCATGTATCATTTTGATGTCAAAGTTTCTAATGTCAAAAAAGCTGTTGTGTTTAAATATAGCTAAAATAAAACAATAGTCCTTGTGTCATTCTTTGTCAATTTTAATTATTCCCTATTCACTATTTTACCTCATTTTAAATTCAAAATTATTCTTAATTTATTCATATTTTCATATTCAATATCAACTAGTGTATAAAACTCCACTACTTCTTAACATATGTGCCACTCTCTCATATTGAAGGCAAATTCTTGCATTAATCTTAAGGTCCATGATAGATATTTACAGAGTATATGAGAGCTAAACAAGCATTTGGTTACTACCCAGATATACACTTTTTAAATTAAAAAGAATTTGTGTGAGAATGTGAATGTCCTTATGCACCTTGTAGAGCTTAAGTAATTCAAATAAAATATTCGAATAAAAAGAATGATCAATGATGTGTAAACATTAATAACATTAACTTGTAACTGAATGTAGTAAGCAAAAAATGGTACAATTTGCTTCCAGGTAGAAAAGCCAACAAAGTACAAACAAATTCTTAATGCAATTCATAAAGTATGACTCTGTAGCAGCAGCAACATCTTTGTTACTGCAGTATTTTCTTAAGTTTTTGAATGTGGGAATTGGATTGGATCACTTAACTCTGGTTAAGCCTGGTTTCACCACGGTTAACGATTGTGCCATTGTCATTATGGGGATCCACAGCTGAGCTAACTGAACCCGAGTCATCACTGCTTTGTCGATCCGGTGTAGAATCTGAAACAGACTCCCCACTACCGATTGATACAATGTTGTCATTCGTTGATTCTGTACCAGAATCTCCAGCAATGGGAACGTCTTTGTTTTCGTTTCCAGACTGTGCAGAACTAGGGGTAGAGTGGTCTTCTTGCCACACTCCATTTGCATTCCCTTCACTCAGCGATGATGACTTCATCATTTTAGTTTCTCCACCCTCGTCTTCGTTAATGCCATTGGGGGTAGAGTGGTCTTTTGCTTCACCCTGTTCATCTTTCGTCTCGTTGCTTTCTCCACCCTCATCTTCATTAACGGAATTGGGGCTAGAGTTGTCTTTTGCTTCACCTTGTACATCTTTTGTCTCATTAGTTTCTCCACCCTCATCTTTGTTCACGCCATTGGGGGTAGAGTGGTCTTTTACTTTGCCCTCCATGTCTTTCCTCTCGTTACTTTCCTCTCCCTCGACTTCCTTAGTTTCGCTTATTTCCCCACTCTTACTCTCTTCGTCCTCCCCATTTCCTTCTTTGCCCTTCATATTCTCCTCTACCTTTGTGTCGTTCTCTTCGCCTCCTATTTTACTTGTTTCCTCGCTCCCATTCTCTTCGATTCCATTATTGCGATTAGTTTCTTCTACTTGACCATCATTCTTTTCTTCACTCGCATTATCTTTTACTTCCATCTCTTCACCTCCATTTTCAATTGTTTCCTCGCTTCCATTGCTTTCATCCGTCTTTTCTTTGATAATACTATTTTCCTCCCCATTCCCTTCTTTGCCATTCATATTCTCCTCTACCTTTTCGTTGTTCTCTTCACCTCCTTTTTTACTTGTTTCCTCGCTCCCATTCTCTTCGATTCCATTATTGCGATTAGTTTCTTCTACTTGACCATCATTCTTTTCCTCACTCGCATTATCTTTTACTTCCATCTCTTCACCTCTATTTTCAATTGTTTCCTCGCTTCCATTGCTTTCATCCGTCTTTTCTTTGATAATACTATTTTCCTCCCCATTCCCTTCTTTGCCATTCATATTCTCCTCTACCTTTTCGTTGTTCTCTTCACCTCCTTTTTTACTTGTTTCCTCGCTCCCATTCTCTTCAATTCCATTATTATTGTTATCATTAGTTTCTTCTACTTGACCATCTTTCTTTTCGTCCGTGTTGTCGCTATTCGTATTGACCTTAGGATCATTCTCTTCACTCCCATTCTCTTTTGCTCCCATCTCTTCACCTCCATTTACACTTGTTTCCTCACTTCCATTGCTTTCATCTTGTTTTTCTTTGATAATACTATTTTCCTCCTCTACTTTCACTTTGTTTTCTTCATCTTTGTTTTCACCATTTTCATTCTCCTTGCTCCCCCCATTATCATTTATCTCTTCGTTTCCATTCCCATCCGCGCCATTTTCATCCTTTTCCTTGTTCTCTTCCAAGACATCCCTTTCAATGCTCTCCCCATTTTCATCTATGGACTGCCCATTTTCTTCTTTCACTTCTTGATTGTTCTCATCATCAAAACTTTTCCCTTTCTCCTCCTCCTCGTCTTGTTGCTCCCCATTACCCGAATCTTTGGAATTTGCTTCCTCCAAACGAGGTTGGAGGCCTTTCCTGCCCAGCTTGAGATCTTCAAATCCGTTGTCTACCTTCTCAGAGAGAGGCTCATGTTCTTCCTTTGAGGTGTTTTTATATTGAGACTGTTGGATTTGGTAAAGAAGCCAGACACAAACACCTACAAGTACACATACTTGAAGAGTGTGTTTCACTTTGAATCCCGTGTTCCTCTGGTTCCTACGCGGCGACTGCTTGAACATGATGGGTTTGCTGTTTTAAATGCCAGTAAGCTCTGTGAATTTTTGTGAGCCACATATTCAGTTTTTTAATAGAAAAGTAAGAAAGTGAAAACTCCATTCTCGAAAGGATGGAGTAGTAATTACGGAGTAAAAAACATGTCAAATTAGGCTAGCAAAATAAATGTTAGAGTCATCTTTATGATGGAACAATACAAGGATCAAATACCTTAACTAGAGATAAAATTATTCTAAAAATCTTGCAAATGGGCATTCCACCACCTATCAAAACTCAATATGACAGAGAACAAAGAGGGAAAAAGAAAAGATGACTATGTTGATCCATAGTGATTGGGGAGTGTTATCAATGTAAATGCTGAATAACAACAGAGAAATGACATGGATTAGGATCTAAAAAAAAGAAGGAATTGTCTAGAACAATCTGAACTTCTTGCATTTAGCCAAAAATGATCCCCCATTTCAAAATATTCAAGCAATTATCACATCTTTTTCATGAAGTTTTGGGCAGTAATTGCAGAAAAGCATCAATGTCGAAGTTGGAATTATTATTGAATGAATAAAGTTAAAGAGAAGATTACTACTGAAAATTTTGGACTGAACTACAAGTTAATAATATTCTGGGAAACTTATCCTCAAAACAAAGATCAACCCAAGAACAAACTAAACCAAACAGATCTCAATCAATCAATAAACAGAACCAAACACAGTGAAACCCCATCATCATGAGCTAATAATAAGATCAAGAACATGAAGAAGATGAAGAAGAAAGAGATAGCTTACAATACCCAGTGAGAGAAAGTCCTGTGAATCCCTGGGAGATGATAAATAAGCAGTTTTCTATTGGTACTTTGAGCAAACAGTTGAACTGCACAATCCCAAGAACAAATACTGATATGATAGATTTCTTCAGAAGCGACTTTCAGTATAACTACTACTACTACACTGTCTTAGATCCCAGATTGGATCTGGGATAACTTTTCCTTCTGGTATAACTTTTCCAATGCCTCAATTTCATAAACTTGGCCGTGTCCCTGTAAATTAGCACCCTTTCCCGGCTTTCAGTGGGGTATTTCTATAGTTTTAATTTTTTGCATTTAACTTTTGAATTTTGATTTATAATTAAAATAAAATATTCAGAAACAACGACAACAACACCAAGTTGAATCCCACTACAATAAGAAAAATATTCAGAAAGTAAAGTTTAAATGATACGGAGTACTTCCTCCTTAATACGTGCAAGTATTACGAGAGATGATTGAGCCATTGAGGAGTGTAGGACTAGGACTTGCAAGAAATATTTTAAACCACTCCAAAGTCAAAGTTGGTATGGAGTAACATTTTGTCACATGAGATAGCTATTATTCATAACATGGGATAAAGCTACTTGTACCCCAACCCCACTTTGTACCCTGCAGGTTTGCACCAACATTTTGTGTTGGTGTAAAACTAATTTTTGTTAACGCACCAATATTTTGTGTCTGTGTAAATTTTTGTTAATGCACCAACATTTGTGTCAATGTAAACCATCAAAATGTTTGTGTATAACTATAGTATACAAATGAGGTACAAATATTGGTGTAAATGTAGCATGGTCCTATTCATAACACATTTCTGATTTTGTGGAAACTCTCACGATCTAATGATTTTGTGAAATGCCGGTCAATTGATGTCATTGTCCGCAAAATGAAAAAAACATGATGCTTTTTCAATTCATTTTATTTAAAAGTTGATATAGAAATAAAATGCAAAACTTGCATATTTGTAAACTACATCAAAACTTCTACAATACAAGAGGTGACGATAATATTTTATTTTAAAAAATTAACAATCAAAAGATACAAATAAACAAAAAATATCGTGAATTTTGAATAATGTAGAGTGGCTTACATTGTGGGATAGAGGAAGTAAAATGTTGTCTACTATCCATGTGCTTGTTATGTGAACGATATACTCCGTAATATTTATAGTAAGAGTGGAGAGACCTTGTCACTTGTGTGATGGGCAAAAAGACTATGACTAAAAAGATTTATCGAGTTATATTGGAATTGAGATCCGAAAAGTTGAGTCCAAAGAGGTCCTTGAGACTTGTCTAGTTTTAGATCATGTTCTTTTTAAGTTATTCTTATTATTTTCTCCCTCCGTCCCACATAAATCTTCTCATTAGTCATTTCTATTTGTCCCCCATTAATCTTTCTATTATTTTTTTTAACATTTAATGTGGAGTTTATAACTACCCCACTACCTGTATTTATTACTACCTCCGTCCCAGAGTATTTGTCCACTTTCATTTTTACACACCATCCAATACACTTCTTTAATCCATTTTATCTTGTAACTTGTATATTAAAAAATTATAGAAATTATATATTAATAATCTATATGTTAAGACAAATCAAACAAGGTCACACATGACTATATTTAGGCTTACACATTGGGAGAATTTGATGAGTCAAAGTGCTTAGATGAACAGTTCCAAAAGTCAAAACTGGACGAATACTCCGGGACGGAGGGAGTATATTTTACCACCTCATTTAATATACTCTACTCATTTTCATTAAAGATATTTTGGTAAATTTTTACTTTTTTTCAAGCCTACTTGAAAATCATAAAAAATCAAAATGAGAACACCTTAGTGGGACGAATGGGAGTTGCTTATTCTTATTGGAATCACTTTAGTTCAGTTCTAATCAAGACAGATCAGATCAAACCAAAAATAGTCTCTAATATAATTACATTCAAATTAAACCAGACCTGATCTAACCATGCCAATCGAATCAAAATCAAAATGATTTAGATCAGGTAAAAAGAACAAGTTCTTAAACGAATAGTTTTATTCGTTTCTTAATTTTCAATGAAGTATTAGGCTGGTCTCAGGCAAAAAAGTTTTTTTTCAAAAGACTAGATCGAGAGCGGACTATTACAAGAATCAAGAGAGTATAATCTACAATTCGTTGAGAGAGACAGCAATCTTAGTTGAAAAGTTATTTTGTGAGAGATATTAATAATGTCAATCACTCAGCCTTTAATTAGTTTGATATCATCATTTGTTATTGTAGCACGATTGAAATTTCTTTATCCCCTTGAACTGATCTCAATCTTGGACTAAATTAGGCAGATGACAGAAATGAAGAGTAAAGAGTTGAAAAAAAAGGATTAGTGATTGAGCTCCTTAACTAACCTTAGTCAATTCCATCGCATGATTGCATGAATAATTTTCAAATCCATCAAATAAAAAGTCTTACTCCGTATATATTACAATTATACATTGCTCATCCATTTATTTAGACCCTTAAAATATATTTTGCTGAAAGTATTTGTTTAATTTGATTTTATCTAGTTAAATTTGAGTAAATTGTAATTGATGTTTAATCTGAATTTATGTTATGTATTGATTTAGAAAGTTATCAACGAGTTAAATCTAATTAAATTATTTTTATAGCAATATACATTAAAACATTTTCTTTTAATGAATCTTCGAAATCCGTCCAGTTTGAATCGAAAAAATGGGAAATTCTACCCCATTGGCCCTCAATATAAAGCAAGCAAGCAAGCAATTTGGTTCAATAACTTACTAATAAATCCCTGCCAGAAAAAGCCTTACTGTATCAATTCGCTATGGATGTGCCTAAAAAGACGAGGAAAAGTCGTCAAGTTTATCTTCCTGCTGGTTTACTCGTAACCAAAATAATGGTAGTATTGTTGATGCTTCATCAGATCCATGGCGGTGCAGCCTCAATAATACACTTCAACTACACAAAGTTCCCTGAGATTAGCTATGAAGACTTGAATTTTGATGGAGATGTATTCCATGAAAATATGGTCCTCCAACTCACCCGGTAATTATTTTCTCTTTGTCCATATTTTTTCATACTCTACCTATCACATCATATTTTTTCACTAATAACCAAACTATTACATCGCATTCTTACCCATAACATCAGAGGTAAAATTAGAAAATTAACCAAAATTAAACCTTCCTTATTTTGACTCTAAGTCAAAATGGGAAGAGTTTAAAGAAACGGATGGAGTAAAATTTTTAGACAAATGTGAGAATATTACTCACTCCGTCCCGCTATATTCGTCCAGTTTTGACTTTTGGAATTCATCTAAGCACTTTGACTCATCAAATTCTCTCAATGTGTAAGCCTAAATATAGTCATGTGTGATCTTGTTTGATTTGTCTTAACATATAGATTATTAATATATAATTTTTATAATTTTTTAATATACGAATTACAAGATAAAATGGATTAAAAAAGTGTATTGGATGGTGTGTAAAAATAAAAGTGGACAAATACTCTGGACGGAGGTAGTACCTCGTATTTATTTTCTATATTTGCCCTTGACAGGTGACATTACAATTATCAAAAATAAAGGTTGTGTGATATTTCACCTATTTAAGTCTTCTTACCAAACATAATATTGGAAACGGCCCGGTTCCAGTGCCACTGGAATCCGGTGCCACTGGCATTCTGGGGCACCTCCGGTGCTCCGTTCGCAAAATTGACGATTCCTACCCCCCTTAACCCATCCCCTAAACCCCCCACCCTACCCCCGCCTCTGCACCCCCACCCCAACCCCGCCGTAAGCCCCCCACAAAATGTGTGGCTATTATGCAACGCAACGCATAATAGCCACACATTTTGTGGGGGGCTTACGGCGGGGTTGGGGTGGGGTGCAGGGGCGGGGGTAGGGTGGGGGGTTTAGGGGGTGGGTTAGGGGGGGTAGGAACCGTCAATTTTGCGAACGGAGCACCGGAGGTGCCCAAAATGCCAGTGGCACCGCTAGTGGCACCGGATTCCAGTGGCACTGGAACCCCACCCTATTGAAAATCATAATATGTATGAGCAATGCAAGGGGTATACCAAAGGTGTATCCCAAATGTACACCACCCCCCTCTCCACCACACATTTTTATTTGATTTTTATTTACTCATCCTTTTTAGATTTTCTTGTCTTTTTTTGTGGCCTGGGGACATTTGTACCCCTAGCATTTTTTAATATGTATACTTGACATTAGAAAAAACAAGAACTTATAAGTTATTAGAGCATGTTTGCGAAAGTTTAAAACCTGTTTGGCATTAGTGTTAGAATTTAACTTTAGTATTATAAAAATTATACAAAGGATAATTTTTAGTTTTAGCGTGTTTAAATGAGCGTATGCATGCCTTAAGATTATTATCCAAAATTCTAACACTTATTACAAATACCGTTCCCAAACCGAGCCTAAATTAGATTATGAGTTATGACTTTAGTCTCTTAAATCATATGATGTTCGAATCTATAATAAGTTTATTTTACTCAATATATAAGAAAAAGATTAAATATATTACTCCCTCTGTTCACAAAAAAGATTACTAAATTGACCAAATGTAAAAATAAAAAAGTGTTAAATTGTAGTTAACTTCCAATTTTGCCCTTGATGTGATGGTAAAAGTAAGATGTAATGAATAGATTATTAGAGAAAAAGTATGATAAGATAGATATGGTATGGAAAAGTAAGGGTAAAAGTGGTTTTTAAATAGAAAGTGGATGTGTTTTGTTGGAAGTGGAAAAAATGAAAGATGAAGTGTTATTGAGAATGGATACAGTAATCTATTATGCTCTTATACTTACACAATTATAGTGAATATCTGACTTTACGTGTTTAGAAGACATAATGGTGTATTGGTGTCAAATATGGTGTCAAAATATGGTGTCAAAGTATGAATCTCTTACATTTTGACTATATTCCTCAGATATAGAAAAGACAGTGCAGGAAGAGTGACATACAATAAACCGTTACAACTCTGGGACAAAAACACAGGAAGAATTGCAGACTTCACAACTCACTTCACATTCGCCATCGATTCGCCCGACCCGAACCACCGCGGAGATGGCGTCACCTTCTTCTTGGCGCACCCCAACTTTTCGCTCCCGGTCCCACCAGACGGGTCCGGGATCGGTCTGGTGGGCCGGAAACAGGTAGCGGATAACCCGAATTACACCCGAGATCGCCCGTTTGTGGCGGTGGAGTTCGACACGTTCCCGAACGAGGACGACCCGCCTTACGATCACGTCGGGGTCGACGTGAACGCAATGTGGACCCCGTACACGACCGAGTGGTACGGCGTCAAAGATGGGAGGAAGGTTGGCGTCGAGATCGCGTACAATTCTAGCTCATACCAGTTGAATGTGGTGTTTGATGGGTACAAAGATGGGAATGAGATCAAGCAAAGGTATTCCCATGGAATTAATTTGAGGGAGGTCTTGCCAGATAAGGTCCAGTTTGGGTTGTCTTCTGCAACTGGACTTCTTTGGGAGAACCATACATTGTGCTCTTGGTCATTTGATTCAAATTAAATCTTAGATTGTAGGGTATTTGAAAGAAGACAAAGCTAATCCAATTTGAAGAAGCAAAATTAAGAAGGATTCACTTTTGAAAGAAGCATTATTGGATTGCACAAAATAAGCATTCTCATAGAGTGAAATGAAACTTCATAAATCTTTTGTGAAGTGGTTTAAGAAACTTTATGTTACCTATCTTTGTGCTATTAAATGGCAGTGCTTCTATGTAATGAAAGCTTTTTTGGTTGGACTTTTCCCTCAAAAATGAAAAAAAAAAAAAGAAAAAAAGTAGAAAAGTCGAAGATGGCTAATGAGATAAGTTTTGTTTGTTGGCTCTATATAAAGGAGATGGTGGTCTTCTTTATTTGGTATGCTCTCCGTTTAAGTTATTCACCGTGGGAAATTTTTGGGTTACTCTCAATACCCATTTTGATTTTATGGAGAGGTTATGGTGAGAACTAGGGAGAGTTCTATACATATTAGGTGAGAGTTTGAGATAATAGTGGAAATTTAGAAAAGTTCTATAATTCTATTTTGGGAGAGTTTAGTAATAACTTAGTATTTTTATACTCAATTTTGGGATCATCTGGTGTTTGTTTTTTGGAGCTATTTAGTGAGAAAAATATTGTTTTCTGAGCCACAAGAATGTTGTCATGTGTTTGTTTTTACCAGTGAAACATTTGGGGTAATATTGTTTTCTGAGTCACAAGAATGTTGTCTTGTGTTTGTTATACTAGTTAAACATTTGTAACAAGGGTTTTGAGTTGTCTACAACAAATTTGTTTTTTGTATACTCCATCTTATTAATATAATTTTTCCCTTCTCCTACATCTCTTGTTTGCTTCTTTGAACATGCATATCGTGTGGGTTCGGTGTGGTCCTGCGGTCCCAACAAGTGGTATCGGAGCCTAGGTTCTGCTTTGTTGCTACCAGTTTCTCCCTCGTTGGTATCAGGTTGCTGTCAAGTTGCTATTAGTGGGAATTTTTTTCTCTTCCTAGTTGGTTGAGAATCTTGACATATATCTCTCGACCAACATCTGAGATTGAGAAATTCAACGGATCTAACAAGCTTCAACATTTGACAAGTTTAGATGTGTGCTATTTTGGCTCAGAAAGATTTCGGCCCAGAATGATTTGAATGTTGCTTTGCTGAGTATATAAAGCAAACAGGTGATTTTGTTCGTGGAGAAGAGGAAAGAGATAGATGAAAAAGTTGTGTTGCTATTCATCTTTGTCTTGTGTTTGTTTTACCAGTGTAACATTTGTGTCAAGAGTTTTGAGTTTGTGTACACCAAATTTGTATTTTGTATACTCCATCTTATTAATATAATTTTTCACTTCTCCTACATTTCTTGTTTGCTTCTTTGAGCACACATATCGTGTGGGTTGGGTGTGGTCCTGCAGTCCCAACATTTTTTTCCCTTTTCATTCTAGGTTGCTCACTCTTGAGATAGGCATTACTCCTTTTATCCCATGAAAAGATTTTAAATATTTTATATTCATAGGAAAATGGTTTTTCTTTCTACTTTTAGGAAAAAAATATGATCCTTTTTCATTTATCTTTTCACCACGTTACTTTTAATCACACAATTTTAATGGTATTAATTTCTGTGTCAAATAACGTGGCGCTTCGAGTGACATGAATCCCACATGTCATCCTATGACATAGGCCCCGATTAGGGGCATCCATGATGCTCCGTTCGAAATTGATGGTTCGTATCTCCCTAAAAATTAACATGCTCCAATGTTCTGGACAATAAAGATTAACTACTAACTTTAAATTGAATCATGACTAGAATCGTAATCAGAAACTAGAGAGATATCTTTGGTTAGAGCAGACTGAGTGCATCTGTACCAAAAGAGAAGAAGAAGAAGAAAGATTGCTGGGAAAGAGATGTGCCGGCACTAGAGTGGATGTGAGAAAAGCAGCTACGGATAGATTCCTACTACTGACGTCAAATAAGGGAGAAGATTGATGTGCCTTGGAGTCGTGCGCGACTGGTTTATAGAAGAAGCAGAAGAGAGGTGCTGCCATGGATTCTAGTTGACTAAAAATCTGCCGACCAAGCAGGTTGAGGTGACGATATGATCTAAAGATAAGAAATGGCGGTGATTGTTCCGCAAACAAATGGAGGAGCATGGCGGATGGTCATTGAAGAAACAAGTTAGAATGAGACCAATGTCCGTTGGATAAACCACCAAGTATTACGGAGTATGTCACTAAGAGCGAAGACTCGGATATCATATAAAAGTCTACCTAAAAATTCATTTATTTAGTAAGAGAGTGTTTTCAACCTACACAAAAGGAAATTTCCTTTTGGATTGAAGTCTTTTAAGTTTTAACCAACTTCTATAAAATGTCATGGTTGGAACTTGGACGGCCTACATAAAGGAAAATTCCATGGATTATGCTATGTGTACCTCAAGATTTGTACCCAAATTTGTACCCCGCAGTTTTGCACCAACATTTTGTGTTGGTGTAAGACTAATTTTTGTTAAACGCACCGACATTTGTGTCCGTGTGAATTTTTATTAACGCACCAACACTTGTGTCGGTGTAAATCATTGAAATGTTTGTACAAACCTGTGGTGTACAAATGAGGTATATTTGTTGGTGTAAGTGTAGCATGGTCCAAATTCCTTTCTTTTTGCGGCAGCACGAGTGTTGGCGTGCGATCTTGTTAGAATCGGAAGAAGGAAGCCCTGAAAGGGGAAACACTTCTCCCTTTCTCCGACCATGTCTCGCAAGGGACGGAAACTCACCAACGGCGCTGCGGTTCGGGACAGCTACCCGTATCTGGACTTCCCCAAACCCACTGCAGAAGATTGCCGATCTGTGCGGGATGACCTCTTGGCCGTCCATGGATTTCCCAAAGACTTTCTCAGCTATCGCAATCGAAGGCTACTCCTGAACCAGAAACTCCCCAGTCTTGACCTGAACCTCTCCAATTCCGAGCAATCCGGTGAAGAAGGCAACGATGGCGGCCATGAAAGCATACTGGATGGTTTAGTGGGTGCCATTTTATCGCAGAACACCACGGAAGTTAACTCTCGTAGGGCTTTCGCCTCTCTCAAGTCTTCTTTCCCCACCTGGGAAGATGTATGTATGCTCTTATCTGATGAAACAGTTCCTAATCTGTGGAGCAATGGCTTTAATTGTCTTATTTTATTTGTGTTGTGCTTTGAAATATTGAAGAATTAGGGTTACATTATTATAGTTCAGAGCAATTTGTTGGGACAGTGCGTGCCCTTTTAGTATGATATTGTCCGCTCTGCGCCAAGTCCGCAAGGATTTATTTTTGGGCATCTCCCATAAGGCCTCATACTAATGGGTTGGAGTAACCATTAAATATTGGTTCTCTTTCTCTTTTCCATACGGTGTGGGAGGGGTTTGATACTCAACACACCTCCCCTCAAACCCAGACCACTTGATCACCGTGACTTCGCCTCCAGCGATTATCCGTTTCTGATTTGCCATCTTCTTGTACCGCCACAACAACCCGCGGGACACGCCGCCCGGTGTCGAGAAGACTTTCCACTCAAGGCATTCCTGCAGACCTTTTACCCCGCTAGCCTAGAGATTTCTTCTTGGTCTAATTTGACACGCCGTACTTCACACAACACAAGGCACCATCCGCACATCTTTCAATCCTGTTCGGTTGGCACACTGTCCCTCGTGTGAACTCCACACGACATAAGGCATCATCCGCCTGCTCCTATTGACACACCGTTCAACCGGGCACTCCTGCACAACACCCGGACCCTCTACGGATCTTGTAGGTCCTTCCCCATGTTGGCCGTTGTCGCTCTAAGAACTCCGCACGCGTAGGTCCACTACTCCGCCCTCTGAACCTAGGCTGAGATACCACATGTTGGGGCCACGCGTGCCCTCACCCCAATCCCACATTAATATGATATTGTCGGCTTTGGGTCAAGCTCTCACGGATTTGTTTTTGGACACCTCCCAAAAGGTCTCATACTAATGAGGTTGGGTGACCTATATATTTTGGTACATTTACTCCTAAACTTCCGGTGTGAGACTTGGACGAATCCCAACGAACCTCCCCTCAACCAAGGGCCAAGACTTGGGCTCTGATACCACATATTGGGACCGCACGTGCCCTCGCCCCAACCCTACATTAGTATGATATTGTCAGCTCTGGGTCAAACTCTCACGAGCTTATTTTTGGGCATCTCCCAAAAAGCCTCATACTAATGGGGTTGGGGTAACCATTAAATATTGGTTCTCTTTCTCTTTTCCGTACGGTGTGGAGGGGTTTGATACCCAACACAATTTGCATCCATGCATTTATGTGAAGCTTATCCTCTTTAGGTTTCCATTTATTTTGAGTTGAATAATAGTCTCTCTTTGAGTTAGCTGTGGAATGGCATCTAGATGCGTTTCTTCCCGATTATCAACACAAGTACTTCTGCAGTTTGCTGAAGAGAACTTAACATTTTTAGCCACAATTTGTGTTCAAATAGTACTGTATTAGTGTGTGGCAGTGGACGGCCTCAAGTTATGGTTAATGAAGTACTTATATTTCCTGTGAGATAGATTGAGTTTTCTTGGATCAACATTTTCCGTTTGCTTGTCTTGACTCTTGAAAACATGCAAGGTTCATGCTGCTAAGTCGAAGTTAGTCGAAGAAGCTATAAAATGTGGGGGCCTTGCACCGAGCAAAACTGCATGCATTAAGGACATCTTGAGTTGGTTGCTTGAGAAAAAAGGGAAGATTTGCCTGGAATACCTTAGGGATATGTCTATTGACGAAATTAAGAGAGAGCTTTCATATTTTGGTGGAGTTGGACCGAAAACGGTAAACAACTGTCATTCAGACTTTACTTGTGTTTTCAAGCCCCTATGATTTGATGAAGTTAATTCAGCTCCTTACTCTCCTCTGGGTTAATTTAGTAATTGATTGCCTTGTTTGTCGTTAATGAAGAATTACACTAGGTTTTTTGACATAATTCATTCAGTCTAATCTCTATAATGGTAAAACAGTTTCAATTTCTTTTATCACTTCTAGAATTTCTAGGAGGCATTTTATATTGATATCGAACATGGTGTAGTCACGTGGCGCTTGCCCAACTAGTCAATGCATATTGGGTTGTGTAAGATAGTCAAGGGTCCAAGGTTAGCACAAAGTTTAAGAATAGTGAAATTGTATGTTTGAAGTTTATGCAGAAGAGGGGAGAAACAATATGAATCACAATTCTTTCCTTAAAGGAATGGAAAAATCATTTTGGAACATCCGAAAAAGGAAAGCGAGAAGATTTTTTTTGGACGGAGAGAGTGACATCTAGTGTAGCCTGATTTGGCTCCTGGTCAATCTTGGTTTTGTCTGATTTGATTTTTGTTTTGTGTCAATGAAAATAAGAATGGGTGTTATTAGGTAATAAGCATTAGAGTTAGGTAATCATAACTTAGTCATAATGGCAATTAGGAATCTGCTGTTGTGAAAATAATTCAGACTCCTGCCATGAGAGTTGTTATACTTTACAATGGCGTGTACAGAAAATGAGTCAAAAAGTTAGCATTGAGGAACTAGAGACACTTTTACAGTTGCAAACGTATAAGTCCAATTTGTTGTTTTCGAATTGATCTTGATTACACTTTTTCCATCATCTCTGATGGAGCCAAAATTTCACCATTTTTTGGCTTTGGGGTGTGATGGAATAAATCAAAATGGATCTCTAAACTGTCTGCGCTTCTTTAATTAATGAAGTAGCAGTTAGTCAAACAATGCAACTTTTGACGTTGAGCCGGGGGTCTCTCTGGAAACAGCCTCTCTACTTTTGAGTAGGGGTAAGGTCTGCGTACACACACCCTCCCCAGACCCTACTCTTGTGGGATTTAACTGGGTTGTTGTTGTTGAATTGATCTTGATAACCGATGCATCTCTTGCCATTTTCTTCTTCAATGTTATGCACTGTATTACTCTAGCATATGGAGCATTTAATTGTTTGTTGGCAGTTTCAAGTGAACGTAATTATATAAGTGAAGGCTAATACATACTTTGTACACGACAAAAAATGACCCAAAACCATGTCTCATACGTAAGCATCTGAACTAATCTCATGGGTTTTGCCCACATAATGTCTTGATAGCTTTTGATGGACTGCAGGTGGCTTGCGTGCTGATGTTTCATCTACAGAAAGATGATTTTCCAGTAGACACACACGTAAGCGTGGTTTATTTATGTACTCACTTACTTCTATTTGCCATCTGTTTTGAATAAACGGTTGATGCCAGATTAATATCCAAGAGAGGTTTCTTGAACAGGTTTTTCAGATTGCAAAGACGGTTGGTTGGGTTCCGGCAGAGGCAAATGTAAGAAAAACTTATCTCCATCTCAATCAACGAATCCCAAACGAACTGAAATTTGACCTGAACTGTCTACTGTACACCCACGGCAAGGCCTGTCGGCAGTGCTCAAGGAAAGGGCCCGAAAAAACAAAAAATGAATCCAACCACGTCACCACCCCTTGCCCTTTGCTGAAATATGCGTCTAGCTCAGAATAGTTTAGTGGTTGCGTAGAATTATGTTCTGTTGTTGTCATGTGCATATAGACTTCCATAGTAGTTTGAATGGTGCTAAATTATCGAAGCTAATGCCAAACATAGCCACGGCCTAACCCAAATTGGGAGGCAATTTGGCAGTGTCAAGACGAGGAAAATGTTGAAAATTACAACTAGGCACGGCGTGCACGTTTTGAATTACCTTAACAACATCAGTCTCATATGCTTCATCCCATTTTTTTGGATAGATTTTGTTTTTGGACTTCTATATACACCGATTCATTTCACACAACTCCAACGCATGAGCCGAAGTCTAAAATTTAGATGATATGGCTGTTACTGTGCTGATTTATCATCTCCAACGCAGCTTCCGATTTATACACTACAAGCTAGAATACATTTCACATAATCTATAAATAGATGATGCTATAGTAAAAGCTAAACATTAAAAGTAATAAAATACTCCGTAATACGGACCTGAAGAAGAGTAGTTTTCTCCATTTATTTTGTCAATGTTCTCCCTAGAGGTTGAAGATTTGGGAAGTGCTTCGCCAAGGTATGAATAGACCTGGAAAAATTGATCCGGACCCGATAACCCAAACTAAATAACCCAGAATCGAACTCGAATTGACCTGAAAACTGAAGAATCGAAATACAACCGAACACCCGAAATGATTCGAGTCGAACCAAAACTGGACCGAATGTATTCTGACCCGATTCAGATCCAAATTTGATTTAACTCGAACTGATTAAACCTGAATCGATTAAATCCAAAACCGGTTAAACCCAAAGGCCGGAACTGATTAGACCGAAAACTGATTTAATCTGAAATCGATTGGACACGAAATTGATCAAATTCATTAATATTTCATTTATCGAATGAACTTGGAGAAAAAATTATCGATATATTTTTACATATGTTGATGTGTTTCTAAAAAAACATATTTAAATTATGGGTGCAAACCGTGCAACTACTTTCATGTACAAATCTTTTACTCCGTATTTTATAACTTAAGTTAAAGTGTTTTTGTATTTTATCATCTTCGAACTTAAAGTTTGACCAACATCGTCTCTTCAAAAATATTAGAAAAAAATATTAAAAATAATACATTTAAAGAGTTTTTTTAATACCAACAATTTGGTAATCTTTTACTCTGTATTTTTTTTAATTCATTATATATTTTTATATATAGCTATTCAAATACTCCGTATTTGACACACAAAGTGAAATGGATTGTTAAATAGAAATAGAGGTTGTACGAAGTAGAATGTTAACTAAAAAGATCGCACCGAAAACTTTAGGAGGGAAAACTTTAGAATGTAAACAATTAGTCACTTATGTAAGTGTTTTTTTATGTACGTCTGTATTAAATAATAAAATAACTACGGAGTATATCACAAATTGACTAAATTTATTATGTGATATTATTGATTTATTAGTATATATTTAAAATATATCTGAACTAATATAAACCTAAATCGATACAAACCCGAAAAGATATAAACCCGAACTGATACAAACCTGAACTAATACAAAGCCGAACTGATATAAACACGATCCGATATAAACCGAACCGATACAAACACGAACCAAAATCGAAACGAAACCAAAAATCAGTCAAACCAAAATACACCTGGATCCGATCTGACCTGAATTGAATCCACCCAAACCAATGAGAAGGAATGGGAAAGAATGGGAGGGATTCCTTTCACCTTGTTTGGCTCGCGGAGGGAAAGGAAAACTTTAAATATATTTATTAATATTTGGTAATTTATTCTTATTTTTATTTTACTTTCATTTTTTATTTTTATTTATCTACTCCTTCCGTTCCGTTAAACACCTCCGGTTTTGACTTTTGGCCAAAATAAGGGAGGGTTAATTTGGAGAAGACTTTCCAATAATACCCGTAGGGTTGCACGTGGGAACCCAAACCCAAAGCCAAAAAAATTGATTAAAGTACAAAAGGCAATCATCATTTACTATTGCAAATAGTTAAAGCATTTAATGCCCACATACTAAGGACTGCACGGCTGGCTTCCTTTTTTGGAGGGGGGGGGATTACAGATTTGTTTTTTTGGGAAATTTTTAAAATTCCCTCCAAAGAACTTCTAAATTTAGTTCAATAAATACAGCAACAACACCATCTTCCCTGCATTAAACCTTCTCACTCTTCCTCCATAATGAGTTAGCATTAAGTTCACTTTCTTCCCTTTGCATTTATGGCTGCCTCCTCCTTGTCCACACACACACAATCTAATTTTGAAGATGCTGTCTTGCCACCACTGGTTGAGGTACCCTTTGCAGCATCTTTTAACAGTCCTGAAACAGAAAACCGAAACTGCATTTCTGGTGTACACGCAAGGAATGAAAGAAGGAAGAAAGTTATTGATGCGATACTACAAAAATACAAGGACGGCAAACTTCAGCACGGTTGTATTAAGTCAGTAGCTAATGACTTCAAGATTTCAGATCGTTCGGTTAGAGACCTATGGAGAATTGCTAAAGTTCAATTGGACACAGGCCTTGCTATTGATGTTGCCTGTAGGTGGCAAGGAAATACGGGGAAAAAATCTCTGACTAAGGACTTTTTCAAGCTTAGCCAGATTCCTTTTCACCAACGCCAGACCGTACGTGCAGTAAGTCATTGCTTGAATGTGTTTACTACAACAGCACACAGGTGGCTGAAGGAGAAAAAGATAAAAAGACATTCTAATGCCATAAAGCCATTTCTGTGTGAAAAAGGTAAGTTGAAAAGACTCAAGTATTGTTTGTCTTTTATATCTCCCACATCACTACCAAATCCCACATTTCATGACTGTTATGATTACATTCACATTGATGAAAAGTGGTTTAATTTGAGCAAGCCCAAAGCAACATTCTACACACTGCCTGGTGAAGATGACCCATACAGAACCACTCAGTCTAAAACACACATTCCCAAAATAATGTTTCTGGCAGCTGTGGGTAGGCCAAGGTTTGGGGTGGATGGTGAAGTTATATGGGATGGAAAAATTGGCATTTTTCCCTTCACTTTTGAAGAGGCTGCTAAAAGGGCTAGCAAAAACAGGCCAGCTGGTACCATGGAAATCAAAGCAGTACCAAAAATAACAAGGGATGTAATGAGATCCATGATGATTCAACAGTTGCTGCCAGCAATAAGGGCCAAGTGGCCAGGGACAAGCAAGAAAGTTATCATACAACAGGATAATGCTAAACCACATATAGATATTAATGATCCTGAATTTGTGAGTGCTTCAAAGGAAGGTGATTGGGACATTCAACTACAGTTTCAGCCCCCAAACAGTCCAGACTTGAATGTCCTTGACCTTGGTTTCTTTAGGTCAATAGATGCTTTGTCAGACAAGACTGCACCAAGGTCAATGAGGGAGTTGATCACCAATGTGACCATGTCTTATGACCAACTCACAGCCCAGACCTTAAATAATGTTTTCCTTACCTATCAGAAGGTAATGGGTGAGGTCCTTAAGCAGAAAGGGGGAAATGACTATAAAATACCACATATGGGCAAAGAAAGGTTGGCCAGGGAAGGAATGCTGCGTGAGAACATACATGTGGATGCTCAAGTCTATGAAGATGCTGTCCAGTTCTCAGAAAGCAACACTTAAGGGCCAAAGGACAGTACTTTTGCGTAACTCTTTTTTTGGTTTGTACTTGTACACACAACAACACACTTTTTTTTTGCTTTTTGGTAGTGTTTAGTCATAGTGTGCAAGCTTGTGTAATGATGTGGTACCAGATCCTCAATGTAAAATATTAAGCAGGGACAGAATATCAATCATAGGCAGATAAAATGCCTCAAAACTCAACTTTGTACTGCAATCATATGCATATAAAGGGCAGTAATGTCTAGGGACTCATACCATGGTTGGGTTGCCTCAGAAATTCATTTAGAAGTTCAATCATAGGCATATAAAGGGGCAGGCATGTCTAGGGACTCATACCATGGTTGGGCTGCCTCAGAAATTCATTTAGAAATTCAATCATAGGCATATAAAGGGGCAGACATGTCTAAGGACTCATACCATGGTTGGGCTGCCTCAGAAATTCATTTAGAATTTCAATCATAGGCATATAAAGGGGCAGGCAGGTCTAGGGACTCATACCATGGTTGGGCTGCCTCAAAAATTCATTTAGAAGTTCAATCATAAGCATTTAGGCCCTCAACATCATAGGGGTGGCAAAGACATATTCCTAATTGAGCACAGTAAGCCTCCAAACCTATAGGGGTGGCATTACAGTGAAGCAATTCTCCCATAATTCAGAAAGACTAGGGTTTACATCATTAGTTTGCCCAAAAAATATGCAATGAAGTCAAGAAGCAAGAAATTTTACTTTAAGAAGACAACACTGCATAAACAACAGAGGCTTTAACCCTTCGTAATTTTCCCCCAAAATCAGAACATGTAGGGTTTACAGAAACAGAGGCAATAAAATATTCATAAGGAACAGAGGATTGAAGCACTTTACTCTATTCAAATCGCATGAGCTTCATTGGACTTCCAACGGGGTTGGCAATGAAAATCTCCGTATCAGAGGTCATTCCTCCAATCTCTTCTGTGGTGAATGAATCAACCTCTGAATCCCCTGATTCCCCTTCTTCCAGATCTGAATTCCACTCAACACCGTCCGGAAGATGGTCACCCCCAAGGTATTTCTTCCGGTAGTTCCAGGACGGATCAGTGTCAGAAGAATCAGATGCATCAGGGTTGTAGCCTGGAAAACATACCCTCTTGCGCTCAGGAGGTCACACATCTTCATCGCTTTCACTTAGAAGGCGAAAGGAAGGCATATCCCAGTCCAGATCTGGAGAAGGAGGGGATGAGGCCATGGAAAATTTGATCGGCAGAGATGGCGTAGGTGAGGATAGGGTTTAGGGAAGAGAGAGAGACGACGTGTGTCAGTAAAGGGCTGGGTATGGGTGGGATGGGTAGTCTTTTAGGGCTGGGGGTATTTTGGGAAAAAAGTGTGGAATGAAAGTGTTTTGTGGAAAACAAAAAAACCGAAAGAGGAAGTGTTTAATGGAACGGAGTGAGTATTAATTTTTACTTAGTACCAGCTTTTTTATGTTAATTAGTTTAATTATTTTAGGTTACTTATTAACATTCTTGAAAATAGATAAATCACTAAACACGCATAGGCAAAAAACAAGTTAAGGATAATAAAGGAAAAACATCTTTAAGCAGAAAACATTGAGCATATAAGGCTTACAAAACACATAGAAGTACATAAAACTACACCCTAGTCCAAAGCGTCTATCAAATATTCTAATCTTAATTCTTCAAACACTCATATTTAAGGTGATATCCTTAGTAAGAGCACTAAATCTTAAGTCATGTCTAATCACTTCCTTCAAACTATTCCTAGATCTAACTCTTTGTCTCCTTCCATTCACCAATGTAAGTATCTTGTATCTACCCAATGAGGCACAATATTTCGTCATCTGAAATTCCCAAATCACTTCAACTTAACAATTTATCTTCCACTAGTGTTATGCCTACTAATCTGGTTTGGAATCATATCCAATTTCACTTTTATTAAAGTACTTGGCTAGTGGTAAGAAAAAAAACTTGAAAAATTCTACGTAGTACTTGCGACACTATTTTGACATGCAAACTCAAATTTCATAGCCAGAAGTCCTTTCCAATGGGGTATCAACCCCCGCGTCCTCCATTTCAAAATCTGGTTCTTCTGCTGCAATCATGCAAAGAACCCTCAGAAATCCGTCAAATCCATGGCTTCATGATCAAGGCAGGCTTTGACCTCGTCCCCTTCCTTCTCAGCAAGCTCCTCGCGAATTCGATCCATGACACGAGCTATGCAGCCAAGATCTTCAAATACATTAAAAGCCCAAATCTTTTCATGTTTAACACCATGCTCAGGAGCTACTCAATCAGTGATGACCCGAGAAGAGCCCTAGTGCTCTTCAATCAGATGAGGGCACAAAACTTATTGCTTGATCAGTTCTGCTTTGTTTCCGCCCTAAAATCTTGTACCCGGGTTCCGGCATTGTGGGCTGGTTTATCTGTTCATTCAGTTCTCTTGAGATCTGGGTTCGTCTTGTTTCTCAAAGTGATGAACAGTCTCTTGCATTTTTACTGTGAAAGTGGCTGGATAGGTGATGCCCACCAACTGTTTGATGAATTTCCCCTGAAGAGAGACTCGGTATCTTGGAACACCTTAATGGGCGGGTATCTATGCGTACACAAATATGGGATTGTGGTAGATCTATTCAAACAGTTGCACAGAGATGGAATCGATGTTAGTGTTACTACAGTTTTGAACATTTCATCTGCCATTGGCGAATCAAGTGGCAGGGTTTTAGCAGAGTCTATACACGGGTATTGCATCAGAAGTGGTTTTTCTATGAATTTGAACGTGGGTACTGCTTTGGTTTCAATGTATGGAAAAACAGCCAGCATTGATTCGGCGCGTAAAGTGTTTGATGAAACCGCTGCAAAAGACATTGTGATGTGGAACAGTTTGATATACGGATATGCGAAAAGTGGAATTTTGGGCGAAGCTTTCCGTTTGTTGAGGTCAATGATGTTGCACGGAGTGATTCCCAATTCATCTACCTTTGTAGGACTGCTTTCAGTTTCTAACCCTTCTGATGGTCTGAGTGTAGGCCGATTCGTCCATGACTACATAAAAGAACAGCAAGTACCGTTGGATGCCAATTTAGGAACATCACTTATAGACATGTACACAAAGTGTGGTTTGCTAAAACAAGCAGTTGAAGTTTTTGAAAACATAGAGAGGAAAGACGCTATTTGTTGGACCTCTATGATTTTCGCATACGGGGTGCACGGGCAAGCAGAAAAAGCCATTTCCCTCTTTCGCAGAATGGAGGAAGAAGGGTGTGGGCCCAACGAAGTCACATTCTTGGCAGTGCTGAGCGCGTGTCGCCATGCGGGATTGGTTGCCGAGGGCAAGAGCTTTTTCAAAAAAATGATAGAGAAATATTCGTTTTCTCCAAAGGTTGAGCATTATGGATGTGTGATTGACCTCTTTGGTCGCGCCGGGTTGTTAGAAGAAGCCAAAAAGGTCGCAAACAGCTTACAAGTTAAGGACAGCGATGCGACTGTGTGGCGTACGCTTCTGGCAGCATGCAGAGTGTATGGAAATGTAAGTTTAGGGGAAGAAGTGAAGAGAGAATTGGAAGGGAGATTTGATGAACATCCAGCTGATTCGGTCACCCTTGCAGGTGCCTATGCCATTGCTGGAAGAATGGGAGATCACGCGAACATGTGCCAGAAGAATCCAGTAGAAGGGCAAAAATGCTCTGTACTCGGAAAGAAGGAAGTCGGATTTAGTAGAGTTATCTAAGGCGGGCGAACACATTATAACTAATTTACCTAATATTTAGATGAAAACACACACAAGATAGTACCCATTGGGGTGAGTTCAATGTGAAATAGCTATAAAACAATGTCAACATTGTATTCCTTGAACCAGTGAATCCTAGTCTTGCTCTTGATAAACATTGTTTTGTGTTTATTTGTTTTTGTGGGAAGGTATATATTGTACTCCTTAACAGAATACATAAATTGAATGAGAAAATTGATGGATTACATTCTGTAAATCATTGGAAACCATGCTTACAATTGTGACCTCTCATTGTTTTTTTCGACTAATTAAAGGTTACACCCCTAAATACAGAACTGTTCATCGTCTTCTATATCTTGTTATCCTCGGTACAAGGTGGGTATATCGCCCCTTTACCACCATCTGTCTTATGACTTGATGAGCTCTCGTAAGCTCTCCAGCATTCTGCAAATGACTTACCAGAGATCTATAAACAAGAAAATTTGGATTACAACCCTTCGACTCCATTTCTTCCAGCATAGCACAAGCTTCGTCGAATTTTCCAGACATACAAAGCCCGCGGATCATGGAGTTGTAAGTAAATACATTTGGTAGCTGCCCATAGTTAACCATCTCAGCAAATAACTCCTCAGCTTTACTAAACTCCTTGGCCACAATGCACCCCGTTATCATCACAGTGTAACAGACAACATCAGGCAAACAGCCGCATTGCCTCATTTTCTCATAGAAAAAGTATTTGCATGAGTTCAAGTTACCAGCTCGACTCAGCCCATCAATTAGAGTTGTGAAGTGGAGAACACTGGGATCACAGCCGATATCTTTCATGTGGTTCAAAAGATTAAGAGCTGCATGTGGTTTGTTCTCTCTCCCAAGGATGTGAAGAAGCAGATTGAATGTGTGAAAATCAGGGGAAACGCCGTTTCTTTCCATTTCATCAAGTAACCTGTGAAAATGACACAATTTTCTTAACCTGTACTTGGCACACAAGAGTGCATTGTAAGCTAAAATATCCGGCGAATGGCCTTCAAACAACATCTGCTGATATACCCATTCAATCAGCTTGTAATTGTTTACAGCCAAGAGACCGTGTAGAATTGCATTAAAAGAATGCTTGAATGGCCTATAGTTGAACTGTTTTGTTTTGATAAACCTTTGCACTACTTTTCTAGCTAACCCTGCATTACCACATGCACATATCAATATGTTGAAAGTCCGAGCAGTTGTCGGGTAACCATTCTCAATCATCTCATCTACTAGTTCCCACATGGACTTGAATTCCCCTGCCTCAGACAAGATCTGCATCATTAAATGGTACGAATATGTTGTGTGCGCATACTTTTCCTGCAGACCGGACCACTGAAAGAACATGCACCCAATCTTGGAGCAATGTTTCTTGTTCTCATCATAACTTGTGATTCTCAATATCTTTAAGAGAACTTCCCTCACCAGAAGTCCCGTAACCCTAACTTGCAGATCATCTAGAGCCACTTTCTTGTCTAACTCGGGAGCATCTTGATGAAGAATTTCTAGAATCTTCTGAGCCTCGCTTCTGAAATCGCCAGCAGTACATTTCCTTGAGGAAACGTTTTGCTGGAAATGGCCTTTGATAAGCTCGTTCCCGCCGTGTGACGAATGAGAACTTAGCTTTTCCTCTAAACTGTGATCAAAATTGGGGGTTTTCAAACTTTCACTCAAATGGTACTCAATGCTTCCAAGCCCATTGGCTACAAAACTTTCACCAACTGAGGAACTGCTAAAACAACAAAACCCATGGATGACCCTTTGGCCAAATGAACTATACACTACATGAAATGATAGTCTGGAGTAATGGGGCATACCCTCATCTATCTCAGTCCTCCCCAATTATATCCAAAATTCAAGATTTCGGGTATGTATATGCCCATTAAGTGGAAACCCAGAAGAAACAGGTGAGATTCGGAACAGTGAAATGAACTCATCAAGAAGAAGAAGAAGAAAACTCTACCTTTTTAGCTGATTCGTTTCGATGAGACCCAGATTGAAATGACTTAGCTGAAATAAGTAGGGTTTTGTGATTCCTCAGCGGCAGTAGAGAAATAGATGTTCATCGTTGAAGGGGTTGTGGTGCTGGGCAGCGGCGAGTTCGTGTGATTTTTGGAGGTTTTTTTTTTCTTCCTGCAGAAATGCAGTGCAGAGTGGAGGAGAATGCTTCCGCTACGAGAGCGAAACTCTGGGGCTTCCGACGATTTTCTAAATCGATTGGGCATTTATCTCCTCTATCCTAATTTTAAGATCTTAATTCGAATTTCCATTCTACCCATAGGACAGGGATCTAGTACAATTGAATAGTACTACTCACTCAAAGCAAGTGCTTATTTTGGAATAAAAGAGTATTTATTTTAAAATCAAGGTAGTGTTCATTCTAAAAAAATATAGTGTTCATTTTTACATATTTGTTTATTACAAACATAATTTTAATATATGAATAATGTAGTGTTCATTCTTAAACAACGTAGTGTTAATTCTAAGTAACGTAGTAGTCACTCTAAAACAACATAGCATTCATTCTAAATTCTCACCTAAGGACGGAAAAGGCCTATAACGTCTATCGTCTGCTAGGATCGTAGTTGTCAATCTGCCACAGTCATTGCAACCCCCACCTGGACCAATTGCAAGGGTTGAAAGCTAGGGTTCTACTGTCATGTTTGCCATCGCCATTGGATGAGGCAGCCGGTGCTCGTTTGTTTGTAGGTTGTCAATTGACGGTTCCTCTTCCTCTTCTGATCGCCGCGTGATTTATCAATCTGCCTCTTCATCCCCATCTAATGCGCCAAGCGCTTCTCTTTGTGGCTTCCTCTTCTGATTGCCAGGATGTCGTGCCGTTTATGCTAATTTTTGCCGGTTGTACGGGAAGAACCGTTTGAATTACTCCCTCCGTCCACCAATGATCTTCACATTGCGCGTTACGAAGTTTGACCGACTTTATTTTTAATTCAATTTATTTGATTGTACAGATAAAATTTAAAAATAAAATTTATATAGTAAAAAAGTAATGAAAAGTTCTACAAAACTAGAGGTGACAATATTATTTTATTTTATGAAATGAATGGTTTAAATAAGCAAACAAAGTGAGTTAAGTTTGACCATGTGAATAGTATCTGGGAAGATCTATGGTGGACAGAGGGAGAATGATATGTTGGGCACTATAATTCAATTTTTAGATAAACAAAAATCATAACACATGAGCCAACAATATTTAATTTCAATTATACCAAAAAATACTTTTAATACTCATTTTGCACTTTAAAGTTATACACCATAAAATAATTAGATTTATCAAACACTTAAATCTACTTTTGTATGGAATAATTCTCAAAAGTTATCTTAAAATAATACTTTAATTATACAAAATTTAAAACACTTCACCATTTTTTCTCTTGTATATATTTTTTAATTCGATAAAATTGAGTGTCTGCCAACTATTTTGAATGACTAATAAGTTTAACTGATTTGACTGGCTTGATACATTGGCTGATTGTGAAAAATGTTTTGTAAAAATAAATTGTTTACAATTAGTTGTTTTGAGATTTAAAAAATAAAAGAATCTATATATGTACATATATAAGAATAGCAATATAACCAAATTTTCTCATCAAAGTAAGATAGATAGTAAATAGTTTACTAAATTTTTTTTAATTTGTCTAACGATTTTTTTAAAAGTAATCTGTATTAATTTTCCAAAGTTTTAAATACATTTGTAATAATAATGTAGGTATTGGATTAAGCTTCTAAAAATATTTATTTTACTTTTACCGGGTAATTTAATAAGTTAATTTGAGTATAGAGAATAAATTACTCTTGTACTGAGTATTTAATAATTTAAATTAGGAATTAATAAACCAAATGAATATTAAAAGGACTAAAAACAAAATTTATAAATTTTAAAGCGATCAAAACAAATACTCTGTATTTATATTCAAGGAGGACTATTTGAAAAATAAAATTTTACAGGGGTGGTTTGATTAAAATAATTTCAGAAGAATAAAAACAAAACGCATAAATTTTACAACGACAAAAACATATTAAACCATTTTCTAATTTTTTTATTATCTCATATTTTAGTTTTAAATTTTTTTATTTATTATTTTAAATTATGATTTTTTTCTCATTTAATTTATTTTTTTCTAAATTCAATATTTTCAGTTTTATTTTTAATTTTTAATTTTTTACAAATATTTTAAAATAAAAATGTTTAAAAAAATAAAATTTTAATAGTCAAGTCCAAAAACTATTTCCTTGGTTTTTCAAGCCGAGCAGTCAAGTGAAAAAGTTATTTACCAAACAATGATTTTAGCTGTTCGATTACTTAAAACAACCTGAATTTAGACAAAGAAGCCAAAAAACAATCAAAAAGTCATTTTCCAAACATGACCAACGACATACAACCTCAAATACTTAAAATAAAAAATGAAATTACAAACAAAGTATGTGCCGATCGCCATTAGAAAGCGTAGCTCATATCCACCAAATGAAAAAAAGTAAATCAACTGTGAAAAAGTAATAGATCTAAAAAGTTATTTTTCCATCTCCAAATGAAGATGTAAATTCAACAAGGGATTGCAAAAGAAATTTCATTCATCTCTTCATTCTCTTCCACGATTCAGCTAGCTAGGATTTGAAGATGAGAACGAAGACTCGCAAAGAATAATACAGGAGAACGAATAGAGAAGGGAGAGCCTCGAGAGTAACAAAGAGCGAGTAGAGTAATGAATAGTGATTCTTTGACTTTTGCTCAAGCCTTTAGGTACACAAGTTCTCTTTAATTTTCAGAAAAAACAACTTTTGATTATGATGGCCTACGCATTGACGGTCAACAAAAGTTAGGACCAATCATTGAAGCATGTGGGAGTATTGATCAATAAACCAGTTTTTAGTCATATTCAACTATATGTTGTCTCTCGAGCAACCAATTGGCGTGGGTTGAAGGTGTTAATTAGCAACTTTGAATATCACAACAAATTTTGTTTATAAAGAAGTATTTGAGAACCTTTACATTTCTTATTATTGTAGTTTAATTTTTTCATAATTGTATTCAACATTAATATGTAATGCTTTAAATCTTTAGAGTGAAATCAAGTACCGGAGTAGTATATTTTTCTATTCAGTTAATCGTTTTTAACCTTTGAAATATAATTAAATAATATATATATTGTATTATAATTTGATAAAATAATTTTTTGAAAACAGTTTATATACTAAATCTAATAAAACTATTTTTGTATCAATATATAATATCATTTTTATTTAAATTGAGATTAATGTTATCAACTTTGACAAAAAAATCAAAAATAGAAAAATATTTCGAGACACAAAAAATAGATTACATTTCTAACAAAATTAGAGTAGAGAAGATCTAGCTCACTACTAGTCCACTACGGAGTACATTCCAAATCGTCTATTGCTCTCACTTCCCCCGTAAGTTGCAGGATATTAGCCCCATGTTATTTTCAAGAATCAAATCGCTCAGGCCTCTGCAATTCCCCAAAGCTTCCGTTCACTTCTCTTCACCAATTCCCTTTCCCGCTATTCCCCTTCAAGATAAAGTAGCGACCTCCATTCCCCATCCAACTGTGAAATCACTCTCACATCTTCTAAAACAGCGCCCACCCATATCTCAGATCAAGCAAATTCATGCTCGAGTTGTATCATTGTCACTCTCTTCCCACTCTTCACTTACCGACTCTCTAATCCACTGCTATCTATTCGCCAAAGATCTTTCATCTTCTAAAGCCCTGTTCGACAATTACCCTTTACCCTCACCGCCAGTCTTGATATGGAATCTCATGATCCGAGCCTACTCCAAGCTTCAAGATTCTCCAGAACCCATAAATTTATTCCGCAAAATGGCAGCTTTAGACCCCCCTTTCCGGGTTGTTCCAGATGACTACACGTTCACTTTCCTCATCTCATCATGTTCCCGCCAAGCGTGGTTGGTGCATGGTGCAACTGTCCATGGGCTGGTGATGAAAAATGGGTATGCATCGAATTTGTATGTCTCCAATTCGTTGGTTAACATGTATGGAATTTTCAATAGAACAGACGATGCTTGCATGGTTTTTGATGAAATGCCAGAGAGAGATGTGTTCTCATGGACCAGTTTACTGGGTGCCTTTGCCAAAAATGGAAAGATGTGGCATGCAGGTCAAGTGTTTGGTAAAATGCCAGTGCGAGATGATGTTTCTTGGGTTGTTATGCTTTCTGGTTTTGTTGGTAGTGGAAGGTACATGGAATGTCTAAGGTATTTTCGTGATATGTTGTCTCGGTGTGAGCTTAATGTAAAGCCTAATGAGGCCGCTCTTGTTTGTGCCATCTCTTCTTGTGCTCATATGGGGGCATTGGAACAGGGTAAGTGGATTCACACTTACATCGATAAAAGTGGGATCCCATATACCGCGAATGTGTTAAGTGCTCTTATTGATATGTATGCAAAATGTGGTAGGATAGGTTGTGCAGAATTAGTATTTAACAAAATAACAAGGCCGAATGTTCACAATTTTACGACTCTGATATGTGGGCTATCTATTCATGGTCTCGGTAAAGATGCCATCAATTTTTTTTACCAGATGTTAGATGCAAATATCAGTCCAAATGAGGTGACCATTTTAGGAGTCTTAAATGGTTGCAGCCATTCTGGCCTTGTTGAACAGGGTTCATATGTCTTCTATAATATGGAGACTTTATGGGGGATTGAGCCCAAGATTGAGCACTATGGCTGTTATGTTGATTTACTTGGCCGTGCTGGCTACTTGGAGAAGGCTTTTGAAGTAATCCGAAGCATGCCAATTGAGCCTGATATCGTTTTATGGAGGGCTTTGCTCAGTGCATGCAGGACCCATCGTAATTCTGATTTTGGAGAGAGCATTATAGACTATATTAAGGGCCTTGCTCCATCTGCATCTAGTGTAGGTGAAGTGCTTCTTTCAAACTTGTATGCTTCTCTAGGTAAATGGGAGAGAGTTGCTCAACTGAGGGAGACAATGACTGAGAGGAAAAGTCGGTCTGATATTGGATGTAGCTGGATTGAGGTTAATGGCATTGTTCATGAATTTCGTGTTGCAGAAAAGTTGCATCCACAGATTTTAGATATTCTTGAAAAATTAAAAGAAGTATTGCAAAAGGCTCACGAAGTAGGCTATGTTGCTAGTACCATGCACATTTCATTTGATATTATTGAAGAGGAGAAGGAACATGCCATCGCCTGGCACAGTGAGAAGCTAGCTGTTGCATTTGGACTGATGAGTACTATACCTGGGACTGCTATACGAATTGTCAAAAATTTAAGAACATGCGAGGATTGTCATTCTGCTTTGAAGGCAGTTTCAAAAGTTTATGAAAGAGAGATTATTGTGAGAGACCGCTCACGCTTCCACACTTTCCAAGGAGGAAGTTGCTCATGCAATGACTATTGGTAGCTTTTACATTTCAGTGCGGAAAGTATTTGATCTGAGCAGAGAACGAGGAAGATCATTGCTATCAACAAGATACTAGGAGTATGAAGTGTTGTAATTCAAGCTTTGTATATTTAAGAGGATAAGCTCACAAGACCATTAAGCATTTGGATTCAACTGTAAACAATACTCCCCCTCACCCCACAAAGAAGTTCACACTTTCCTTATTAAGATGTCCCAAAGTTCAAACATCAACTATGTCCTTTCAAAACAATGAAAATGTGGCTCAGAAAATTTAAACATTTTTCTAACCACACACTTTTCACTTTTCAGACACTTGTCTCTCCTCTAAACAAATTCTAACCACACACTTTTCACTTTTAAACACTTCTCTTAAGCGCTATGAAGTCAAATTCTGAACTTCTTTATGCGACAAAGGGAGTATAATCAAGCAGGATGAAATATGCTGTTGAACACTTTATGATTTGCAAGATTAGGTGGATAGGATCTTTTGTTTCCCATTACACTTTTGCAAAATCTGCCCTTTCCAGCCACAAGTATATCTCAAGGTCTAACTTTAATGCAACCGTTCATATGTTAGTGTTGGTTATTAGATGGATTGTGTATCCACAGGAAGTGTGTATACTAGAATTGTGTATACTAGAAGTGTTGACTTCACTCCTTGCATAATTGGAGATGTGTCACCGGCAATTATGCAAATCAAACCTCATCTGGCCGAAGGGACCCTCATGAATGGTGCGACAATCTCAGGTTAGTTTGTTAAACAATTCGTGTTCTTAACTGATTTGAGATATTAATAGATGAACCAGTCATTAAGTTTAATTTTGTGTTTGAATTTAAAAAGCAGTAATGGGGATACAAAACTTTACCCTTTCATGTCTGTTCTTGTTTGCAAAGGATTGTTGTTTTCTCTTTACATGACTATACATCCTTCCATTTTGGTTTTGTTGATTAAATTTTTATTTCGTTGTTTTCCATTTACTTATTTTTTTTGCACAGGTATCTGTTTTCAGTTATTCAGCTTGATATTTACAGTGTGAGGTGTGTAGGCTCTAAAGGGTGCTTGGTAAAAATATAATATAAACGAGGAAGTGATGTTATAATGAGGTAATTCTTATTTATGTTTAAGCTTATAATTCTTTTTATACTAATAATTACTATTAGTATTGAATTGTGATTGTCTAATACATCGAAATGGAAGGCAAACGTGCAATAAGCTTTGCCGCTAGCCC